GCAATATTTATCGGATACTTTATTTCATAACCAATTATATCAATAAATATCTTTTTATACTCACAGATGTACTTCATGGGGTGGCATCTGCTCCTGCAATTCCAAGCTTCATCCTGTTTCTGTTATATAAATTAATTACAAAATAATATTTTTATTATACACTTAACTTATACTTTAAGAATATAAATTAAACAAACATATTTATAAATATAATAAAATGGTCATTTATCTTTTCGAAAGTGCATGTTCGTTAGCAACTTGCTAGTTAGAATAACATTAACAGAGACACACCTAAAATTTAGGTAACTAACTCTTATGTGTAAAATTCACCAAGAAATTGGAGTACAAAAATTATTTTTATTACTAATGGATGAACCCTATGGTAGAAAAATGTTGTCGATGACTCTTCTCGTCATATAATGACAATGATTACATTAGAGGCAATGAATTCTTTAAAGGAGCCTTAACCAATAGGAAAGTGGTTGTGATTTTAAACTAAATTTAGACTTTCAATTCTTTCACCGCGGGAGCTAGTAATTTACTACCTCTGTTACACTATATTAATCATTTTAAGTTTATGTATAAGAATTAAGAAAATAATTACTTATTTTTAATTTCATTGTTAAATAAAATAAACATGTCATCTTACTCTTTTCTTCACCCTCAATCTTCTATTTGATATAAAACCCCATCTATCGTTATACTTTCTCTTGTCTTTTTTTTTTTTTTTTCTTTCATTGTTAAATAGAAAATTTTAAAGTCACTAATAGTAAATTTGATGTATTGAGATTATAAGGAAAACTAAATAGCCATTTTGAAGAGTTTTAGAGATTCATAAGCCAAAAAGGAGTGCTGTATATGAAACAGAGGAAAGTGGAGATCTTTGTTTTTTTTAAATAACAAAGTTTAGAGTCATTAAGTTTTTATTGTAGGGTAAAGTTGAAAGAAACAAAATTAAAGTGATCTTGGTTTACTCAAAATGAAAAATAAATAGGAACAAAAATTTGTACCTAATTAAAATGACTAATATAGTGGAATAGGGGGAGTATATTTTTAAGATGTGTTTGATATTTCTATTAATCTAAACAACTGAAGAGTAATGAATGAGCAACTTAAAAAGTTAGGTGACCATTATGTTAGGGCTACCATTTAAGTGATAAAAATGTTGATTTTAGCCATTTTTGTTAATAATTTTGTTAGAATTATGAATTGGGTGCCTAAAATGTTGATTCTGCCAAAACCAACAATGAGATTACCCGATTTATGCAAGATTATGTAAGATTTTGATATAAATTAATTACTTTAATTAGGAATTCAAGTTTTTCAAGTTGTACATTAAAAATGCAATTCCCTTTATAAATTTATTTAAACA